GGGGACACAGCTATGATTTTCAGACGGAGAGCCAGGTAACTTGAAATAGCTAGCAATAGATGTGAGAATGGAACAAGTGGGCACAGAACAAGATGCTGATAGCAAAACCATAACGGGTTTATTAGGATGGAGAGACTGTGGTGTACAATGGGCGGCGCTAGGCTGCGATTTTGCAGAGACATGGGCGAAGGTGTGGGTGTAGGGATTCTTCACACGCCAAGTCTTAACATGGTCACAAGAACCATATACATATATACAGCCTCTCCCTCCAACTCCGCTTGGGCATTTCAGACTTGTAATATGTGGTGAACAGGGTGGTGGCTGCTGCCCTAATATTAATCTCACATTGGTCTGCAGAAGTGACAATCAGACGGAGAGGCAGTGTGATCAGATCTGATCAAAGTGAACAGTGAAATGCACAAATCTATTTAGAGGAAGTGTGATGTCAGCTGTCATATGACATACCACACTGTAACGTGCCTGACTGTAATGTTATGAATCCGTCTGGGTTTGAATGTCAAATAATCATAGAGAACTAGTCCATCACATATTAGGAGAGTGTCAGAAGATTATTCTAGTCTTCAACGTCTCCAAGTCCACCGAAGAAGTTTTTCCCCAAACTTTTCCAGTGTCCCATTAGCCAGTAACGTAACTGGGTCACTTGAAATAGTAATATACATCAGTATAAGACTAAAATTAATTATTGGACATTTTTAACTGTAGAGGTTTTTTTGAATTAAATTTTTAGGGTTAAATAAAAAAAAAATAAAGTTAATAAAGATGTTTTTACAAAATCTTAATAGAAGCATAAATTCTATGCACGTATTAACAGTACAAAGCTAATGTGGCAAAGTCGACAAAGTTGCCTTTATCCTCTGAAAACAATATTGCTGTAATAGTGCGAATGGTCTCTTTCTTTTTCTGTTCGCCCAGCTGGATGGAACAAGGCATCACTGTTAAGTTGGATAGATATGAATATGAGCCTGGTTCTGCCGGAGGTTTCTTCCTGTTAAAGGGAGTTTTTCCTTCCCACTGTCGCCAGCACAGTGCTTGCTCATAGGTGTCATATGATTGTTTTAGCAGTGTCTACCTTACAATATAAAGCGCCTTGAGGGGACAGTTGTTGTGATATGGTGCTGTAAAAATAAAATTGAATTGATGTGAATCATATGTTATGGTCTTTACACTGAGCCCCTCTCAGCTTTAAAGACCCATGGGAGGCGTTGATAAGTGTATCAGCTCTTTATCAGTATAATAAAAACCAAAAGTGAGGAAATACGCTTCCTTTCAACAGAGTTGCAAGGTTGTTTTGGCAATATGTAGCAGCTTATTACCAATAAGCATTTTACTAAAATGCATTAGGTTAAATTAGGTTTAATATACGTGCAATTGTATGACATAAGAGCCACTTCCTGTGAGTGTTCCTTTGTTATCAAACACAAAAAGACCATGCCAGTTGTGTTCACGCTCTGATGAGACCTGTGTGTGATTCCAAACCAATGAACACACATCTATCACAAATCCTGTTACATTGATCTGTTCCAGTGTGATTGTGTGACAGCAATCAATGTCACTGAAAAACAGACTGTCTGAAAGTACTATTTCATTTGACAGCTCACTACAGGCTCTTTTACATAGAACTTGTTACATATGCACGAATATGTTAAAAAAAAGACTTTTATTGATGTATA